AACCATCTTCTTCATTATCCTTAGATTCATATCCCTCAATATCCTCCTCCTCTGCCTCATCTGAAATTATGTCTTCCTCATCTATGAGTCCAGTCGTCGATCTTGTAAACCTTGGTGTTACCTTAGTAGATGGTATTGATCTAGTCCGTTGGCTACTTTCCGTAACTCCAGAAGCTCGAGCAACTTCGCCCCAAGTCAAAGTATCATCACCAAACACAAGTTCATTATCTTCATCTGTGTTTGCATCCATTCTCCCAATCAACCACTCATTGCTATCATCAATATCCTTCAAAGATATTGGATCAATTGTGTCACGAGAATCATATCGGCGTCTCAAAGCTCTATTATACTTAACAAACACCAAATCATTGAGACGGGATTGAGCTAGTCTATTTCTTTTTTTGGTGTGTATCTGCAATAATTTATTAACAATACATTAAAATTTATAATAAGATTAAAAAAAATGTAATTGAAGAGGTTTGAGGATGATACTTACATGCTCAAACACACTCCAATTTCGCTCACAACCGGATGCACTACAAGTAAGGCTTAAAACTTTTTTTGCAAAGGTTTGCAAATTTGGAGTTGCAGACTCATATGCACTCCACCAATCAGCTGTGAATAATGAATAACAATTAATTAACTAACATATTTAAGCAATGATAATGAAATAAGCTTGTGGGATAACATAGATTACCTGGTGCCCTAGTTGTTCTTTGTCTAACCGCCATGGGCAACTTAAAGAGGTTTTTCACTTTTCATGTAAATACTCAACTCTTGACCAATTTTATCTTGTATCACAGGATTTGAGACCAACTTTTCCAAACATTTATTTATATAGGCCATTCATGACTTCTTGATCTTTCTCAACCTCTAGATTGGAATAGAAAAACTCTGGGTTCAAAAAATACCCAGCTGCATGCAAAGGCCGATGCAATTGAACTTTCCACCTTCGGTCAATGATTTCAAAGATGTGTTTGTACTTCTCTTCATTACCATTAAAAGAATTAGCAATCGCTTTTTTAGCCCGGTCCATAGCTTCATAAATGTACCCCATGGGAGGCTTTTTCTCACCATCAACCAATCAAAGCACACGAACAAGAGGACCAGTAAACTTAAGAGAGTAGACAACATTACTCCAAAATGAAGGCATTAAAATGATTTGTGTTGTCCTTTTGCCTTGTTGTTCTTTTGTCCATTTGCTTGTAGTCCATTCCTCTGAAGTGAACATTTTTCTCAAGTTACCTTTTTGTTGATTGATCCTTGTTAGCGTAAGAAAAGCCGTAGCAAATCTAGTTTTTGCGGGCTTAATCAACTCCCTTGACTGGGTAAATCGTCTCATCATATTCAACAAAGTTGGACGGTTATAAATATAACCGTATAATGTTATTCCTCTTTCAAATGTTCTCTTAAAGTTTAGCAACTTGAAGATATCTTCCAATACCAAGTCCAAGCAATGGGCAGCACATGGCGTCCAATATAGATTGGGTCGTTTTGCCTCCAAAAACTTACTTATTAAATAAAGATTTTTTTATCAACTAGTGTGCATAAAAAAATTCAATATAACAAGTAGTTATCTTTTTTTTTTTCCAAGAAGCTCATACCTGCTAAAACATTTGCTGCCGCACTGTCAGTGACAATTTGAATCACATTAGCTTCACCAATACGCTCTACAAAATTATCAAGCAATTCAAATATTTTTTGCCCATCCTTTGAGTATGCAGAAGCATCAACAGATTCAAAGAACATGGTCCCTTTTGGACAATTCACTAAGAAATTAATCAAGGTTCTCCCTCTCTTGTCAGTCCATCTATCGGCCATTATGGAACATCCATATTTTGCCCAATCCTCTTGGTGATCTTTCATCAATGACTTTATATGTCATATTTCTTTGTTGAGCAATGGGACCCGAACCTCATGGTAAGAAGGGGGTTTCAAACCAGGACCATATTGTCCAAAAGCTTCAACAATTGCTGCAAAACTTTCATAGTTCACAACATTAAAGGGAATTCCCGTGTCATACATCCATCGGGCAAATGTTGTGATGGTTTTTTCTCTCATTTCCTTTCTAAAAGGATCGCTGGCATCAATATTCGTTTGTCTCCCTTGGTCTTTCGATTTTGCACCACAACATTCGGATTAGGGGTGAAGTATACATCCATAGGCCCTTTTTGTCTTGGCTTTTTTGGTCTCGATGTGGCTTGTGTAGAACCTTGACTAGAACTAGTCATGGATCTTTACGGTTCGCAACAATCTCTACAATATCATCTTCATCCTCCTCCAAGTCATTAGGCATCTCATCAAAGTCGGGAACTATGTTCATTAGATTCTTCTCTTCCTTTTTTTTAGCCATGTATTCTCTAATCTCCTCCCTAACATGAGCAGAGCATTTTGGACAAGTAATAACACTCGTAGAGTTCCCCGCTAGGTGTTGCTTGACCCGATAGACACCTCCATTTGACTTTTTTTCACAAAAAATATATTTGAACTTGTTTGTGTTTTGAGGATTTACCAAGTGTGCATATTTCCATGTCGGATCTTTTTTGTTCCCTTCGGACGATGATGTCATTTATGAATAACACTATCACACTACAATCAAAGGAACAAAACACATTCACATGTACTGAATCACATTTCATATCAGTTGTAAAAAATTTTATCTTGACAGGACAAGACAACAAAAGAAGCAAAATCAGGACAACAATAGAATGCAACAACAACAAAAAAAATAGACGATTGAGGAAAAAAAAATAGAAGCAGCACAGGAGCAATTTCATATTGACTGGACAGAAGCAGAATCAGGACAACATCACAAAAAAAAACACAGAAGCAAAATGAGCAAAAAAAAAAAAATCAGAAGCATTACTATGTAAACAATATCATATTTCACATGTAAACAATTCAACTTGTACTGAATGCATTAAGTCTTGCATTTTCATTTGTTTGTATAATTCTTATGCAGTCTCCGACCATATTATTACCAAATGAAACTAAGCTAACACATGATTATTCACCAAAGGCATGCCCCACCCCATTTTTTTTTTCAAAATAAGTTATTTTTAAATTTATTTCTCAAATTCAATCACTTTTCAAAAGACATTATTTTAAATAACGCCTTCATGAATTAAAAGATTATTTGAAATAATGTTTTTAAAGACATGATTTGGCATGATGCCTTTAACGCACTACACATCAAATTTAGTTCAATATTTATATTTAGTGCGTGAAAAGCATTATATTTAAACGTCTTTTAAAAATGACTAAATTTAAGAAATAAGTTTGAAAGTGATTGATTTTAAAAAAAAAAAATTTGAAGTGCATGGGTTTGGTGAATTCCTCCTTGTTCACATAAAGCATATATGATACCAAAATCAATGGCTCCACGAATTCAATAATCCTCTGCCCAATTTTTCTTGTATTTTCTATAGAATACCTACGAAGCATTATAGTGAGTTCACTAATCCAATGATGTAAAGGGACTAATGAGAAAACAAAATAGTAAAAAATTGATAAGTAAAGCCTTATTAATGCTATCAAATTATGTAAAGTAAAGGCACACCATTATACCAACAAATTATATTAGAAATTTAGATTCAAATAACATTGTTCTATTATTCTAAACACGGGCCTAATCACCTATAATGATCATATCATGTGAGAGTGAGATGCCATCAAAGCTTAATTAAATTGTATTTCGGACTGGAGTTTCATTCATAATTTTTTTTTTGTCTAGGCTTACGTATGGTTTTAACTCCTTACATTTTTATGGGATCTTCATATGGACTGGAATTTGGATAGCAACATAAGGAAAAAGCAAAAAAAAAAAAAAAACAGAAGCATAATGACAAAAAAAAAAAGGAAGCACAATCGGAGCAGAATAGGGTAGAATCAGAGCAGGATAGGGTAGAATCAGATCAAGAAAAAAAAAAGAGAATAAGCAGAATCGGTGAAGGAGCAGAAGACAGAAGAAAAAAAAATATAAGAGAGAAGAAGAAGAGACTAATTTCCACAGTCCAGACCAGCCCTCCAAACTCAACGATATCTCTGTCCAGCAGCAACGATGGTGTAGAAGCAGCGAAAAACTCGAAGCTTTGGAGTGTATCAGTGGAGAACAACACCGATCGTGTAGCAGTGGAGAGCAGCACTGATCAATCGTGTAGCAGTGGAGAGGTAGCACCGATCGAAGCTATCTGAGAAAAAATGAGACAAAATTAGGTTAGGAGTTTTATTTATAGGATAAGGGAATAATTCGGTACATCAACATCTTAAAATTTTTTTTGCAATCGCCCAATCCAACGGTCTAAATTAAAAATAAAATATTTCGACTCTTATAACAAAAGCGAACGCTTTTTCGCTTCTTCGTTTTTTCGCTTTTTCTCGCCTCGCTCACGTTCGCTTCGCCTGGAGTCCTCCGGGTGAGTGCCTAGGCGCGCTTTTCATAACACTGACCACGAGCATAAAAGAGAGCTTGGGCTCGAGGATTTGATGAGAGAAACCGCTTCTAGAGTCCCTATTATCGTGATCTATACAAGAGAGAGTTTGTTTCTTGTACTGTAATGGTGGAACATGACGTAAATTTCGACGAGGTACACAATTCTTTTATCCTTGTGAATTTTGAGTCAAAAGGGTGGATTGGACTATTTTGTGGCCTTGTGCCAGCGAATGTTACCGTGGTTACAGAATTTATGCACACATTAGGAACACTACAATCAATAGTGAGTATTTCGCGACATACATCCAAGGTGTGTTGATTTAGTTCTCTGTAGACTTGATTGCCACCACCCTACAACTACCCTTGGTCGCCAATGATGCCTATCATCACAGGCTAGATAGTGTAGTGCCCAGGCTCAGTCATGTTGCATCTAAGTTATATGGATCCCCATATCCTGATGGTTGGGACTAACAAAGATGGTTTCACAAGGACGTTTATCTTTTGGTTGCTTGATCACTCAAATTTATGTGAATAAGGGCGTAATTGCTTTGGAGACTAATCAAAAAAGGAAACCAAAAAGACCTATTGGGAAGGAGTCATTGAGGCAGCGTGAAACAAATGCGACTTATGTATTTAACCCCATGGAGGTCGAAATAGAAGAAGAAGAGATGGAGGGTGACCCAGGGCCTGAGATGTATGCTCCTACTTCTAAGCCGGGACCACCAACTAGTGACCCCATCAAGGCATGCACATGCCAATTTCATGTGCCACATCACACTAGGTTGCACCCACTACTTCTCATGCTCAGTGGACTATTATTATGGATGCATTAGGTAATGTTCAATCTAACTTAGGTCATGTTTAGACTAGCGTAGACCTACAACATAGTCTGATAGCGTTATAACTATATTCTCTTGATGATAGACATGTTAGTCTTGAGAGAGGGCAGAGAAAGATGAGACGAGAGGTTAAACGACTCAATCAAATGTTGTAGACCACTAGATTCATAAATGATGATGAGCCTGAGGGAGCCCCAAGTGTTGATGGTGTTGGTGGTAATGATACAACTAGTTGAGTTATTTATTTATACATTAATAGGCTTGTACTTAAGTACTCTATTATTTTTTCTTATTGACTTTGTTCTTGTTTATTTTCCTTTGTTATGACGTACTCTTAGTCATTTGTTATTAGATGTTTATCTATTTAGACTTTAACTTAAGTGTCATGTTTAACCTTTTCTTTGTTCTATATGTATATTCTTCAAAATTGAATTGTATTGATATCCTCTTGTTATACCATAATTCTATATTTTGAATGCTATTATTTGTCATTAGTTTGCCACTTTGTGGCACAAAAGGAAAGCATAATTTGGAGTAACATGATTCTATATCATAATACACAAACTTGACATGAAGTTGCTTATATTTCCTTATTTATTATTTACTTGTTTTTTTACTTATGAACACCAACTAATAAGGAGAACTTGTTGTGCTTCATCGTTGTTGTATTCATAGATTCTCAAGATGAGTATTTCCTACACGTGTGGAGGATGAATTTACAATATCACTTAATCTAAGCATAAAAATCGCTAAATGTTTCATCTTTTTGTATCTTCAAAATCTCAAACTGAGAGGTGTAACTTTAGAGACGAGACATCTTCATTAAGGGCTTGTTTGTTTTGTGGGTTTGCGAGGGATTGGTGCCCATGGTTTGGGAAAAATAGTCCAAAGGCCCCCCAAATCCTATGTTTGGATTAAAAATTCAATCTTGGGTTCCCAAAACCCGGCTCATAGCTAGCTCGAATATTAAAATTTTTATCATGGGTTTCGTCAAACCTAAGGGGTGGGTTTGGGAAGATGGGTTAAGAATGCAAAAGATAATTGTACCCCTTAACATGAGTATGAATTGGATTGATTAAGGGGTAAAATAGTCATTTATAGGACAAACAGTTGTTAATAATTATGATATATATAGGGCTTGTTTGAATGGATTTTTGGGGAGGGTTTGGATTGGTTTTCTCAAACTCATCCAAACCTAAAACCCCTCTTTACAAAGATGAGATTCAACATTGAATTCAGTCCATACCCATGTTTGGTATATAACACATACACATGGTAGGTCCCACATATATATCATATTTATTAACAACTACTTATCACATAAATGACTATTTTGCCCATTGATCAATCCAATTCATACTCATGTTAAGGGTACAATTGTCTTTTGTATCCTTAACCCCTTAACTTATCTTTCCAAACCCACCCCCTCCTTAGGTTTGACGAAACTCATGATCATAAGTTTAATATCTGGGCCGAGTTTGGAAATCTAGGATTGAATTTTTAATCAAAACATGTGGTTTGAGGGTCTTTTGGACTATTTTTTCCAAACCCATCTTGTCAATCCTTCCCATACCCCCTTACCAAACAGACTCTAAGGGTATCCCTTTGTGGGAAACCTCTAAGATGTTCAATGCCTCTTTGGAAGTCTCACAAGTGGAGATCATCTAGAACTCATTTGGTGTGACAACATTGAATGTCGCATTTAAGCCTTTTGAGTTCCCTCCTACAAACTCGTATTCAATCTTGAAACAAGTTTTTAGGAGTCTTGGTCCAGTAATGGAGTCAGTACTCTTGATAGTAGTGACGACAGGATGACTCTAACCATCTAACACTGACAACCACACGCGTTCGTTTATTAACTTTAGAATAACCCTCATTCAAGCCTTTCAATAAACATAATTCAACCTATCAAACAACAGTGGCATCTAAACCAAACCTTCTTCTTTTATGAATAAACCAAGGGTTATTGGGTGTGTAGATCATTACCTTTGTCTTAAGCATTGAAGGTGCATTGAAGATGTCTTGATTTGGCTTTGTAGCTGTAGCTTCGTCATTCATTGTTGTTTTTGGAACTTGATCTTTAAAGTATCTTGACTATGCAGTTAGGTTGAGATTTACATTAAGAATTTACAAAATTAACTAATTACAATCAATTTTTTAACATAAATAATTTATGGATTTTTATGGTTGACGGAGTTAGACATGAGATTTCGATTATGTGTGAGGTTTTTGGGATGTATCATTTTGATTGATGAATTATTGTTTTGAGATTTCTAGTTAGATTATGATGAATGTTTGTTTTGATTTAGTGTATGTATTATTTAATAGGCTTTCATATGTTGCTCGTTCTAAATGGTTGCAAGCTCAATTTTTTGAATTAAAGAATTTTTCTTTAAATGTCTTATTATGAAATTGGAACGTGACAACAACTCATGCCTTCACTCACTTTATTCTTATTTCTTACCTTAAAATTTTAAAATTTTACAATATGCCCTCAATCAAATAAAATAATAATGATATAGTCCAAAACTAAATGTTCATTGCCTTTTTTGATAAATTTATTTATTATTTTTGTCATATTATTCTATTTTTACAATATAATTATTTATATATTACTCAATTTAAGTTTTTTTAATAAAAATTCCATACTCAATTTTCTTAAAATGTAGCAAATTGCTTTGATTGAGAATGAAAAACTTTTGCGCTATAAAAGTAATTTGTCGAAATTATTTTGCATATTCCTACAACTCCCCGTTCCCCACTCCAGCCCACCCCATACCCGCTGCAACTCCCCCACCCCTAACCAAAAGCAATAAATTCCACTCCCCCAATGCAAGAAAGCTCTCACATTTCACCATGGAGGTCTCCTTAAGGTACTGTACTTATATAAGCGTGCAAGTGCAGTCATTATATTGATGCAAGTGAGTTTGCTTTCTATATGATGTTGCCTAGGTTGAATTTCATTCGTGCTAGGTTGTTATTTTAAAACCCACGCTGATTTGACTGTTTAACCACACAACTCTTCTCATTAAAACCTACCTTTCTCCTTTGCAAAAGCCAAAACCAACCTGTTTAACCACACAACTCTTCTCATTAAAGCCTACCTTTCTCCTTTGCAAAAGCCAAAACCAACCAGTCTATCTCTAGGTACTTAGTAACTAACAATATAAATTTTGAAAAGTACTCATCATTTCCTACATTTGGATGCTGAAGTTTGGCTTGACGTAGCTAGGGGCAAAGTCAAAGTATTTTTATAGTGGGGGCAAACTAAACAAGGGTAGCCCAATACAAATTGGGGCTAAAGTAAGAATTTTACATGAGATTTCATTTAATATTTTAGGAAGATAATCATTTTTTTAATAAGTATTAGACATTTTATAGAAAGTTACTGTATTATTTGTTTTTAGGAGTTTTGAGATCCAGCGAGATCAAACAAATAATTGAGTGTAATTGTAAAATTAGGATGTTACACATTAATAAATTGAACGAAAACTTAAAGTGATAATAAAAAAGTTAGAGATAATGACAAAAAATCAAAGCAAGACAACGAGAGTGGGAGGGAGTGAAAGAGTTGAAGAGAGGCTGTGAGAGTCAATGAAAAAATAGTGAAAAGAAATGAAAAAGATTGCAACTTTTAAACATAAAAGTCGTTATTTTCATATTTTTTTTTAGAAGAATTTGTTATATTTTAGGACTTTCTACAAGGTTTGCGTAGACTTGTGAAATTGTTATATTTTATAACTTTTTATAAAACTTTAGATAAACTTGTGAAATATATTGGGCTTTTAACCTTGTCCATTCAAAAGGGCCTCATAATATGAAATTGAACTAAAGACTGAAAATTAAATTGGAGCCATAAATATTTGGGGCTTTAAGTGACTATTTTAATAGTTAGACCCCAAGGTCAGTTCTGCTGTGACCTTCCATCCCAAAGGATCGAAGTATTTGCGCATCTCGCAACAATTATAGTCTCTATTCGTCTCTCACTGTCGAGTCTTTGTCCATGAAACTGATTAAGTAAGACAAATTGATTACTGGATGATACGTAATAATTAAATGTAATATATGTGTTATTCTATATTTTATGCATTTTTTAAATTGTCAAATTATGTGTAAACCGTTATAAGGTACTGTCATAATAAATATGTTCAATGTTACAATATGGTGTCACATAATTTTTTTTTAGTAATTTAAGCATCTAAAATATATTGAACATTACATATGCTATCTCCGTATAACTGTTCAATAGTATAATTCATAAAAATTGTAAATATATGTAGATTATCTTAACTAAATACACATTTTTTAGAAAGCAAATCTGCACATTTGTTTATCTTTCTTATCTCTTGCTTGACTCGCATTTTTGGGGATATAATCTATTATTTCATTATTGTTTTTATGTTCTTTTTATTTGTTTTGTATGTTATTCATAAAAATTGTGGTATTACATGATCGACTATCAATATACATTTGTAATTCCTTATTATTGAATTATTTTACTATTTTTTTATGATCTTTAATTTATTTATGTATGCAACGTTCACCTACTATTTTATTGTGCTTTATTCTTTTTGATAATAACTTTATTGAAATTTTTTTTGATATTAATTACTTTTTATTGTGGATCCTTTATGAAAATAAACAATTTAATTAGTTGGTGTTTTTATATTTAAATGGGAACAAAATCAAGTTTGAGAAAAAAAAATGCATTTAATTTATTTTTATTTATAGAAGAGATATACTTATTATATTTTTTTTATCCAAGTCTTAACCCTTTTTCTCTGTCATTTAAATAAATATATGTGTGAAGTGGACTATACTTGTCGAGTTAAATTTTAATTTTTTTTTGTTAATTTAATCTTTCAAGTAAAAGTGTTCAAATTTTTCCATACTCGTTCAATTTCGACCCTACACTTCCGCAAAAATCAGCCGGCTAATGAAATGATTTTTGGTTTTTCAGGTAGGAACGTAAAATAACTACAAAATTTTTATAT